GAGACGTAACAATATCATAATAATTTTGCTTCTCCGTATTTGATTTTATTTCATATCAGGAAATAACAGAGTTAATGTGATGTTCTGATATAATAAAATAAGCTATTTTTTCTCACTAAAAACAAGCTCCCTATTGAATCAGCGTCATGTCTGAGGGCTTATAACACTAAAAATCAGGTTTTAATACCCGCGATGGCAACAGCGCAGATAGCCCACTGTGTAGTTTTGTGTTAAAAAAAACAAAAAAGCAGAAGCTAAAAACAAAAGTAGGACTAATATCGATGTAAAATAAGTCTATGATTGGAATGAAATGTACTTAAGTAAAAGTTATTCAATTAAATGTGCGCTTCTCTTCATTTAAGATAGATTTGCAGATGAAAATGCCTTAAAATATCACTAACTTTGCTTATCAACATGAATAAACAGTGACTTTTCAAAACTGAAGTTTATGTAGGTTAGAGTAGGCAAATTAATCTAATAAACTTTCTATAGCTAAACAACATTTGACCACATCTTTAGGTAAGAAGAAAAGAAAAATATTATAGATCTGTTATATGTGTAGTTTCTGACATGTGCTCATAAAATATCACAATAATCAAGGGCAATAATGTTGCTCGTAAGACGAGACACAACAAAATACAGCTTTTAAATTTTATTTTACCTTTGATTACACGTAGCACTATTTGGTCATGAGATACTAGGTAAACGCGTTTTCCACGTTTCACATAAATGTGAAATGTTTATCGTCAGAAGTGTATATCACTTCTGTATAGGCCCAGCATAGCCAGGTGGTTAGGGCACTCGACTCGTAGGCTGGAGTTTCTCGAAGGATCATGAATTTGTCCGGCAACTCTAGTCTGATCGAGATGCCCTCTTTTTAGTATATAAGCCTGGCGAGAAAAACCAGCGTCATTGAAGAGATAGATATGTTACGACAATGCAGGTCACGTGACGCTTGTATCACGCCACTTCCTTCTCGAACCTTCATGAAATATCGGGAGTTTACTAGATCTCGGTATTCTTTTATATATAAGACGGTCACAACGTGACGGAGGCAATGTAATGTGTGTAATTGAACGGAGTATTGTTGAGTCGAGCACGTGAGACGTTCGTTGAG